GGCAGGACGGCCCCGGCGCCATCTTTCATAGCCAATCTATACGTCTCTTATGTCCGTACTCCACCCTCCGCCCCGCACCCGCCTCCGAGCTCATCCCCGGAGGGGAAGCAGGAAGCTGAGCTCACCCGGGAGGTCCAGGCGCCGGGAGCGGGGGGCGCGGGCCCAGCAGCCCCCAGGCCTGGTTCCCCGCTGAGCAGCGCGGCTGGGAGGAGCGACAAAGAACCGCCGAGCACCGCTGCTGTAAGTTTTATTTACACAGGAACTGGTACTAGTGGTCTTAAAGGAAGGCCTGACCCTTCTATTTACAGTTATATACAGATTTATAGTTGAAAAGTAAGAAAACTGTACAAGATAACACAAAAATATAAGACAAATTGGATCCAATTAAAGTAGTGAATACATAAGTTAAGAAAAATCTGACATTTAAATTTCAAATTGTAATGTTATGAGTAGCATATATGTAGTTTTTAACCAGATAGCCATGTAAGTTACACCACACTAAATCTTTACCCCAATTACGTAGACTGCTTTTAAACACCAGACAACTGGAAGCCTCCTGCACTTAGAAGTATGTAATGGTTGATTTCCACAGAGGGACCAGTTACAAAACCCCACATGTAAGGAATTTATTTACATAAATATTAGCAAAAATGGACCAAGAGAATGCAAGTGCTCCCTACCTGCAGTGCTACCCAGTTTAAAATTTCCATCCCCTACAATCACAAGTTCTTGTACAGCATCTTTGAGAAACGTTTGAAAATATCTGCTGTGACACATACAGCACAACCTTATGTCTCACAGTTAAAAGATGTTAAAAAATTAAATATCACTAAACCAGATGCTTTTTGGATTTCAGTATTGCACACTAATAAAATATAAGTTTCAAAAATTATTCTGTGTCTGCATTATTCCGAAGTGTTAAAAATGGCTGCTCCTTTGACAACACAAAGTCTGCAGATAGCTTTGTCAATCTAGTGTTCATCAATCCATACAAGTAGTTTTTAGTTGGAAATGGCTCAACAAAATAAAGCTTCTGGTGGCTAAAACCCTTTCACAGAATACCCACTTCATTGTTAATAACCAATACACCAAAACAAATGCTTAACACCACTTGCTTTGAAAGCTGAACAGTCTGAAGCGAATAGCCTTGATCTTACCACTGTTTAAAATTCAGATGTTTTCGCTCTAACAGGTTTGGGCACAATACTTCCACAGTTCCTGAGTTAATTACATTTGCCCAGACTGAAGAATGAAGCTGCAACTTAAAGAAACAAAACACAAGAAGTAAATAAGACAATACCCCTTACCCAATTTTTAACCATCTTGCACTCAAACATACCAAACAAGCTTATTTGGTCCTCAATACTTTCAAATGGTTAATTTTGGAGGTAATATTTGTACCAAAGCATTTGGTTTGGATAGCAGTTTCAGGGCCTTAAGATTTAGCATTTCCCTCATCCCCCCAAAAAAGTGCCTTTGTGGTATTTGTAAAAAAAGTTATGTCTCAAAATTTTTGTTAAAGTACCAACAGAAGTTATTACAAATGTTTATTGCATTGAGCTGATTCTTTTAAAGTATTAAATATGAACTCCCCTGCTTCTCAGTTTCATAGGTTTTAGTATTCCGTGTGAAAACAAATCTTCCCATGACAAAAGCTAATACTGGCAAAAAGGGTGAAGATTTCATCAGTTCATTACTCCACTGAGAGCTGTGTTGGTTTTCAATCTCATTTTCACATTTTCTGTAGAGCTTTTCCACATACAAGCAATATGAAAGCTCCTTTGTCATCAAGTGGTTTTCCACATTTTCAATTAACCTCAACATAACGATTAGCTTTTCAGTGCTGGGCTATGGTTCTTGTCCCCTTCTTTGTTGTCCTTCATCAGTGAGGCAAACACCTGGAAAAGTAAATTAATTAATGAATACTAAAAGGCCAGTCTTACAAAAAAAGATCAATATTAGCTACCACAATATTAGCATGGAGATTAATTTATAGAGCAAGACACTAGAAAGCAAGTGCTGACTGCTCAGAAGTCAGACATGCTGTATCAAGTAGTCATTAAGTGCCCCATATACTCATGTGCTGACAAGTCTGATTTTACATATATATATATACACACACATATATAATCTATGTGTCTGTCTCCAAGAAACTCACCTGTGCCCATTTTTTGTTACTATTCTGCATCTGAATAGCTGCAATACAACTAAAAAGCTTTTCTGATGTAATGTCTTCTGGAAGTTTTGTTAGAAACTGTGCTATGTGAATAAAGTCCATCTGCAGGAGAATATCTTCATATAACCGAAGGATTCCTAATCCAGTCCTAAACAAAAATTCTTCTCCATCTCTACAGAAAACATCCCAGACACGACAGGCAAGATCAAGTGGTAAAGACTTGCTGTAGAGTGTAAAGATCCTACAATTGAGAAAAAAAGGAACAGTTATAACTTTAGCCTATTCCAGAAAAATGAAAATTCAACCTCCTTTAAATCTCAGTTGCATTAGCCAAGAGTGAGAAGTTATTTCCTATGTTCTTATTTCTTTCCATATTTCAAAGATCCACAAGTCTCCAGGTTTTGAAGTCAGAATGATACTCTGAAACCCATCTCTCCTCATGCTACAGGAAATCCTACATTTGAAAATCACCTCCTTGAGGAAGATCTGGCTAGAGAAGTTACATCTTCACACTCAAACAGTATAATATACAAATAAGAACTTATGCAACAAAGATCATAACTGAGTAACTTAAACTGTATGGATAATAAATGGAAAGGATTAACAGCTCTGTTCATTATTTGTTTTTCCAACTAAAGCTAAGCCCACCAATCATCTCCATAGAAGGTTACCTCCCACTAATGTACTAATGAGAATTCAGGAATTCCATTTTATAACGGCTCCTGTGATATAAAGCAACGTTCTCCGTTTCCCCATTATTCCTATTGGAAAGTGGTTCAGGAACTTCCAAACACTCCTCACTGCAGGCAACCACAACTTCTTCTACTCTCCCTTTTATAAAGGGGAGCTCTCTCTGTCTCACAGCCATCTTTGGAACATAGAATCATAGATTTGTTTTGCTTGGAAAAGACCTTTAAGATCATTAAGTCCAACCATTAACCCAGAACTGCCAAGTCTACCACTAAACCATGTCCCTAAGCACCACATCTACATGTCTTTTAAACACCTTCAGGGACAATGACTCAACCACTTCCCTGGGAAGCCTGTTCCAGTGCTTGCAAAGCCTTTTGGTGAAGAAATTTTTCCTAATATCCAATATAAGCCACCCCTGGCACAACTTCAGGATGTTTCCTCTTGTCCTATTACTTGTCACATGACAAAAGAGACCAACACCCACCATGCCACCCCTGAGGCCACTGACCAGCCCCACACTTGCCCTGGGGCAGTTCAGCCCTCACAGCTCCCCCTGTGCACAGTCACACTGTTGCATGCAGGAATAACAATCTTCTTACATGTAACTGGAAGCAGAATATTCTAGTACTTTGTAAGCAGCACTATTTCCACAACACAGATAGCCTTCTTCATCTGCCTAAACTCTCAGGACTGCATCATGCTCCTGACTCAATGCTGCTATTGTATCACCTGCTCCTGCTGACAGTTACTGTTTACTAATAAGCTGCACCTTACAGCTTAAGTTCTTCATTCCCAAATAACTCACATGACATGATGATTTTATATTATTTAATTCTACCCAATTCAATTTACTCTATTAGAAACTTCTAACCCATATAATAATCCTACATGAAGCACATCCTTATACACATGCCCTCATGAATAGACATTTCGTATTTGGCAGCTCTACACACACTTCAAGGATGCTTGCATGATTGTCTTCCATTACAGGCACATCACATAGTCTGGTACTTTCTGCTTTGGAACGTTAATTACTTCAAAATGTTCACTGTATTTCAAAGCCTATCCCTTCCCAAACCAGATCCTAACTTTCATCCTCCTCCTTCAAATTCTATATTCCTATATCCATACTTTCTTCAGTAGCTGATTATGTTCATTTCATCAAGTCACTATCAGCCATAAGACAACTAAAGTGAAGTCTCCACTCCCCTACTCCTGTCACACGTAGCTGACTCCTACTTGCAGCCACAAGACAGGGAAACACACAGGAGTCCTGTATCTGAATACATGCCACTCCTAATCCATAATCATAAAACTTGAATCCTGACAGAGTAACTTCAGTTGCTCAAAACAGTTTACCACAATTTCACAAGACCTAGAAAGCTGAGGTACACAAACACCTATTGAATGCTTTTATTTTGACACTATATTTCTATTACTGAAAATCACATAGCAAAATGGAAAGTGTTTCAACATTTGCAAGGTTAGGTTTGCTATATTCTCTAAACTCACCAGTCTATCAAGTATATGTCTGGAGTAAGACTGTATGATTTGAAATGAAGAAACAATTTGGGAAGATTTTCTTCAAAGAATACTTCAAAGGCTGCAAAGTATTTCAGCATCTGTAGAGACAGTAAAGCATCTCATAAGTAGTCATCAAAAGAATGTTTAGCTGTAAAATAACAGAAACCCCACCAAGAATCGAGGATGTCAACAGAGCATAATGTGGCTTCTTAGGATAAGTACAACAAGTGTTTCTAGAGGAAAAACAGAAGCAGTGGGATGTGTTCTATAGATTAGTGTCTGATATTTTCAGTTTGGTAACCACAGGTTAAAGTTCTCCATGATTCAATGGGATAAAAGGAAGCCATCAATAAATCAACTCTACTTCAAGTCAAAAGAATGTTATGGTTCAAAACCAGAAAACTCTGTGCATACCATGCTGTGATCCACACGGAAAAAGGCCAGCTGGCATGGCTTGTTTAGAAGGTTAGCAAAGGCAATGAAAGCATCTGCCTCTTCCAGATTGAGAATGAGCACAGCAGCAATGAAGGACATCCCTTGTACCTTCAAGTGGGAAAAGCATTGGGCAAATATAGGTGAGTAGGTTCAGTATATCGTACTTCTTTGGAAATGCAAATATTTACAGTCTGCAATATATCAAACACCATTGCATAACATTTCCAGATGAACAAATAATACAGAGAAATATTTTTTATGCATGCAGTCAATTTGATTTCAGCAAGACAGAGTGTTTCTTCAGATGCCAGTTTTAAGAGCTTGATAGAAGTTCTGGGAGGTCTCATGATCACAAGTGCTTGGGACTTGGAATGCAAGAAAGTTAAAACCACACAGACTGGGGGCTGAGCTCGTAAGAGATAACACTTTGCCTTAAGCTCATTGTTAAGCTAAAGGAAAAGCAGGCAGGGAGGAAAACCTCACATATGGGACAGTTTAGACCCTGACAGATATGTTGGAATTGAAACAAAATTCTGTTTGAGAACAGTCAATACATATATTTTCACTTGCCAAACAATATTTGTTCACACTACTTTTAAGTGGTTAGCTGCAATGCAAGTTTACATTTTTCCATGATTACTCTCAAAAAAACCCCTTCAGCTTGCAACAAAAACGAAGAGCCTTGTAGTTGTTTATTGATGATGTGAATACTCATTATACTTACAATAATTTAACTAATTTCAACTGCAATTATTATTATTCTGCTCTTTCCAGGCATTTATGCTGCCTGCTCCTCACTTGAAAGATGCACTCAGTATTTTAACCAACTAGGGAGGAAAATATTTGTATGCATCAAGAACAGTTTGGCAGCTTTGCATTTTTGTGGGATAGTTGGTTGTAGAAATAAGACACAATGTTAAATTTACTGTCATATTAACATTTTAAAAATGTATGATCAGAAATATACAAGCTGGCTGTGACTGTTGAATTATGTTTTCCTAATGAAAATGAGAAGGCCTATCCATGAAAAATTACTTGTTTGCCTTTTAAAACTCCACCCTGGGAATAAGCAAACTCAGAAACCGCAGAGTTTGTAATCTCACTTAAAAGTATGGGATGGTCTACGAAATGAGGTCACAGATAATAGAATTCAGGGCTGAAAACATATGAACATGAAAAAACAAGTAGATATTGATGCAGAGTCCCAAGGATGTCTGATTTAGAAAGGAAAATATACCCTGTGCTAAATAATGCTTTGTTGCATGGATCAGACCTAAAACTCTACAACTTCTTTTTAATCCCAGGAGCAATTAAATCTTGTGAAAGGTATTCCTAGCTAACCCCAGGAAGAAAGAAAAATAAAAATGCAACTTTTTGTTATTTAACTCTTTCTGTAAGCTGACACCATCCAGAGAGATGTCAGGTTTGGCTGGTTTGTTTGCGGGTTTTTTTATGGGTTTTGGTTAGTGGTTGTCGAGGGTTTTTTATTAACTTCACTGAACTCCATTGAAGCAATTAATCTTTGACAACCAGACACCAATAAGGAGTTTTCTGGATTTTAGGATGTGCAATAAAGTAGGGAGTATCACTGTAGAAAAAGGCAACAGTGAAACAGAACCGGCTACGTGCTCCTTGGAAGTCTGCCAGCGTTTCAGGGTTTTCCATAGATACTTTGGGTATGTCAGAACTATAAAGCTTTGTGAGCACATCCATTTAAAATTTTCCATGCAACTGAGATATTACAACCCATCCTTAATATTCTGTATATTTTCAGCTTAATTATCTCTAAGAATAACATTGTAACTACTACAAAATGAGTACGTACAAAACCTGAATTATTTTTTTAAGCATTAGTAGCATAAAGTTTAGATAACCTACTTATTCAATACACTCTAATGCATGACATCTTAAGCTTATTTGCAATGTTATAAACATTTCACAGCAAATACTTACATATCCCACATCTGGTCTGTAGCACGTATATGCTCCTAAAACACTATGCAGGAGATCATGATAAGGCCCACCCTAACACACGGGGAGCGACGAGGAGGTAAAAGAGGAGAAAGAAAAACAAAATATTTTTCAAAAATCACTTGGTAAATATAAGGAAAGAAACAAGCCAGTATTTTAAGATGCAAGGGAGCCAGTGAATTACTGTTCACATCTAGAATAATACCAGTTTTTACTCCAAGCATTACCATGTATGCTTTTGAGACGTTAAAGTAACAGACCACTAAGCTTATGAAATAATTCAGTGGGATAAGTACATAATAGAAAATGAGGATATCTGGTAGGTATCTGAGTTGTTTTTTCCTTTTTCAGAACAGAGGATGTTTAAATTCTCAGTTACACAAGTTATTGTATTACAATAGTGAATGCTATTGTATATACATGTGTATTATATCTATAGAAAAATCATAAAGCCTGATAATATGTGCTAAAACACATCAAGATTTCTATAAAAGCAGTGAGAAAATTCTCATTTTTGCATGTAATTTTAATAGGAACCACATGCAATTTTTCCAGAAGAAAAAGCCTTAAAGTCCATCAGTAAGTGTCCCAACTTTATTCTCTTTAATTAAGAGCAATTACTATTTGTTGTTTTATGTAGAAAAAAAATAATTTTACTTCTGTTGTTTTATACAAACTTCTAAAAGCTGTTCCATATTTATCCAGCTAGGTTTCTTTTCTTGTTTGTTTAACTACGTTTAAAATTGTTATAATTAAAGCTACAGAAATCTCACCTTCTGGAAAATATACAGGGATGGAAATGTGCGTGATATATCCAATTTAATTAGCTCCAGACTGGCCTCACGATCAGCAACAGATGCACCTACATCTGCAAACAAAACCAACACTTACTAAAACTGATAGATGAATTCTGCAGACCTCAGAATAAAACTGTCACAGGAACATAGATTTTTAGGATCTAAGGAAAAAAGTTACCTAGTTCTAATTCTTGGAGTGCACTTCTGCAGTGTTATACTACAAGAGCTAAAAATGTGCATTGATATACCTTTGCTACTTTGGTTATTAATAATAAGAACAGTGGGCTGGCTTGCTTTTTGACCAGAGATTAACATCCTTTAAGTTTTCCATTATTACTACATTTACCAGAACATCTGACACAATCAAATCGGACTCTTCCCCTTTCCATTCCCATGCAGAACTACCACCTTTCCAAAATAAATAAATTACCTAAGCCTTTTCCCCACACTCAGCCCACACCTCCACAAAAAAACAAACAGCCACCTCACAACCCAGGGGGCATTGCAAATGTGTTTTCTAATGATAAACATATTTATAGTCACGTACACAAACAATTTGCTTATACAAGTTTCTGATGCATCAGAGGTAGCCTAAAGACCAAAATTTACAAAGTAGCCAAGTAGTCAGAATAGCCAATGACAAAAAAGTACTTATTCCATTACAACAGTATTTTCTTTCCCCAAAAAATGGACCAACTCCAAAAAAAAAAAAGTTATTTCATAGGGTCTGGTAGTGACAGTATCACATACGACAGCATTGTAAAAAGTAACTTAACAGTACAAGGAGTTAATGTTTATAACAAGGATATATCACCATTAAAAACGCCATTGATACTATTTTTCACAAGGAGAATTATCACAGGAGACACCAATATGCCAATGACAAAACTCCATTATACATTAAAAAGTGTGCTAGCATCTCCACTTAATAAATTAGGGTGGAAAGGCCACCTGGGCAACAAAGGAACCCCAAGAGGGATCCAAAATGTGTAATATGTTGTATATTCTTCACCTTTTGGTTCCACAATAAAAAAAAAATTGAGAATAATTTTCATCTTTCCCAAAATTGTGGGATACCAACATAAGAACCATCTAAGCAGATTTAAGCAACAGCACATACTGTAATTTAGTTTTCTATTTCTTCTCTTCAGATTTAATCTAAAGTTTTCATGAGAGGTTAGTTCTGGTGTTTCAGGAATTCAGAGAAAAAGACATTAATTCAAAAGTGAACTAGCACATGCAGTATTTCAGTGCATCTTCCATTGATATTTAGTAAACACTGTTAAGCTCCTTACTCACTGACTTGTAAGAAAACAAACATTTAAGCAGGGAATGACTCAGAGCACTTTTAACAAGTATTCCTAATGCTGCAGTTGCAGCTGAACTTGTGAGACTTTCTGGATTTGGAAAAGCAAACAGGAGGCTGTCTAGCATTCAGGAGATCTCACCTTCTATGTCATTTTCACAATTTGTCTCACTGAAGCTTTTCCATCGTTCCTTAGCCCTCGACAAGAAGATTTCATAAAGTTCTGCAAGAAACAAAACAAATCCAACATCAAAAAAAGAAGAAGCAAGTAAGGAAAGGACCCATCCAAAACAAAAGCACACAAAGTACTTACTTACTCTTGGCTTTAGTTTTGTTGCTTAGTTTAATTTTAACCACTGGGGGCAGGGGAAAAAAAATCTATTAGATTGTTACAAATAACCACTGGAGTGCCACCATACAGTTTTATAGTATGCACTGTATTATACTTTCTTTTGTGGTGAACATGCAAATTACAAAAGGAAAATGGTGTCAAATGTTCAGATTTTTATTTTTGTGAATGGGTTAGGACACTTCCAGTTCATCAAAACCATTAGTTACGAAATAAAGCAATTCCCCTTTCCACCCCCTTAAGAAAGCAAAGCTACAAATTCTTGATTTTAAACACAAAATTTACTTTTTTTGTGGGGAGGGACACCTTATCACTTGTTAGAATAAGATGTTTTTGTAAGCAGTTTTTGAAACTTTTTCCATAATTCAATAATATATTATGATGCCCAATTATAAAAACACTTGTTCCTAAGGTTGTGAAATACAGTTCTTCAAGAAGCAGATATACCTTCATTTATTATTTTTTTTCATAACAAAAGCTTAAACATTTCTTTGAAAATAAACAACTTCATTCTGCATAAAAACGTGATCTGTTGAGCCATACCAGGAGTGATATTTAATTCGTTTCCCACAGCTAGACTCCAAACTTTCCCACGTACACTTGGTGGCAATCCCTGCCACCACAGCTCTCTAACTCTTCGGGTAGCACGCCTAAAAGAGGGAAGAAATAAAAGAAAAGGGTCTATGTTGTGTGTCTCATCTTCTAAAAAATGGCAAATGACAAAACAGGACAAGTAAATCAAGGTATGTTGTTTCTGTTTCCAAAGGAGAAACAAGCCAGGCCTGTCTCATGTACAGAACAGCATTTTACTTACATGCCTTCCCAGTTAGGTAGTATTTCATTGACCCAAATCACCATAGCACTAGCGATATTCTCCTCTTGCTTGAAACGCTCTCTCATGATTTTTTTCCTTTTATGTGCTTCTTTAATTTCTGTTAAGTATAACATGTTAATAATTCTGTATTAGTGTATATACTTTATCAGGTAAATAATTTTACTATTATCTAATAATTTAGGTGATGTCTGAAAGAGATCAAGTGTAAATTACAGTTGCACATGAGCTAGATGGTACTATTTTTTGATTGCAGTTGTATTTCTCAGGAAATATTTTTATTTAAGCTTTAAGTTATACAAATATACAGCAATTTAGACAAGCAGTACACAGAATGACTAAAAAGTAATCACATCATCAGCTGTTTTTCCTGCAATTAATTTCACACCACATTCTACCAACTTAGACTGACCAGCAATAATTACAGATAGCTTACTATTCAAAAGCGCAATTCTACATCCATTTTTAAATTTTTCAGATTTTACTGAAACTTCCACCTAAGGAGGATTATATATTTTCTTTTCTGGAAAGAAGCCCTAAAGCCACAAAGCTGAAAGGGAGACAAGTATTCTGCCTTCTCTTTAAAAAGGATAATTTGTAGATCCCTTTTATTAAAAAGACTAAAACAAGGGCAGAGCAGTGCTCTCTTGTCATCACTAAAAACCACAGAAATTGTTCTTGTAAAATTGTGAGATTTTTTTCTATTTAGGGATGCACTAGACATCAGGTAAGTAACGTGCCATCCCTGGAAAACAGATACAGCTGACCAGCTTCATTAAGTTATTTTTACTGAGGCTTTGTGTGTGGCAGTAGTTAGTTTAATGAATACTAGGGCACATGTACTAAAACACCATACACGACTGACCCTCCAAAGATGCAGTTAAGAGAATACAGACCACAGATCACACCTTACAAGATGTATGCAAGAGAGGAGTGAAACAAGTTGTCAAATGCCCTGGGTTTCTTACTACATCTTTCAGAGTAAGGTGCCACAGATCAATAGAGGCTGGATTATTTCAGAAGCTTGTATTTCTGACAATAGCCCAAGTAAAACATGCAGCACAGATTCTCAAAATAGCTTGCTCCCTGAATACTAGGCACATGAGTACAGAAGGCCTTTCAGCAACTATTCATAGATTGACACAGTATCAGATGCTACAGATACGTTTAATTTAAAAAACAGATCTAGTGGGAGTAGGAAGGTTCACACAGGTATAGCTGGCGGTAAAACCCTCCAGTTTTCATCAGTCTTGACACTAGAATTTATCTCAATATCCTGAATAAAATAGATCTTTAAGCAGACAGCTTTACTAGACTTTGACTCTCAGTGGCAACTGCAGCAACCCGCCTTGGGGAGGGGAGAGGGGAAGAGTACCATCCAGAAACTTCCTAGCTGATTGCATTACACAAGTAGTTTTAAAAGAAATTATCAAGTTTCTACTTAAAAATTAAGTAAAAGGTTGAACTGACTTCTGAGCGTAGTTAGGGTTCACTGTGCTGAAATAAGAAAATAATTTGATGAGTTCTGTTTTAAACTACATGTACATACATACCAGGGAATAACCAAGATATTAAAAGAGGTTGTTGTTGTTTACTGTACCTTCTAGCCTACAAGACAAATTATTTTTGCTGCACAGTTAAAAAGAATTATAGTGATTACTGGCAGTTAACGTACCTCTTTTTTTTGCCTCTGCCACCATCTCGTCATATTCTTGTCGATGACGTAAAGCCTCCTCCACTGATTTGGCAGGAAGATTTCTGAAAACAAGTTGTTCCTGAATTCAATACACACAAATGACATTCTGAACCATTTCAAAACAGGTTTTAATTTGGCTTTTATCTAAGGTGAACTTTGGGGTTGTCACACTACCAGTGTTTCAGTAACAACAGTACAAGTCTACCAGATGCTTACTGCTTCTGTTTATTACTCCTCCCATAGCTTCCTCCAAAGCAGGGTTAAGGGTTACTAGATTTGCTGAACATCTGGAATGATGCACAAATGAAGTTTGCATGAAGTGACAAAAGGGGAAAACTGATATTCTAAACAATATGTATTCCAATGCATTTCTGTACATGCATATTTAATAATTAAATACACCAGCAGATCAATACTCTATTTGTTCATATGAAATCTATGATGATGTCTTTTAAACAAAAGGTAAATGGTTTTATTTATTATAGTTAGATAGGTTTAGCAAAGGAAGAAAGGATATATCCCCATTGACATCAGAGCTACAGCTAAGGAAACTTGATGCGAGTTCATCAGATTAAAATACATTTGAATTTTAGCTGCACAGTGATCCTCTAATTGCCAAACACACTTTTGACCAAGCAAACTCATTCCAAAACAAAGCAGAAAACATTTGGTCTCAGTCTCTTACCCAATCTCTAGTCTACTTTGGTTCAAAATAAACAGAAGGCAGTTTCATCATCTTAATATTTTTTTAAAAGAAAAAAGAAGCTTTCTGCCTCCTCTTACACAAGTACTTTCTTACTAAATTTCCAGTGAAAGTGAGAGCAGAATATATTTATAAGGACACAATGTGGCGACACATTACATACTTGGATGGGACTCAAATTTGAAACAAGTGTCATTTGTAAAAACATACTTATGTTACTTTGTGAATTGTGATGTTTTGAAAGTACAGAAAAGCATCAGCAAACCAGTCAATGCACATCTTACTCTCCATCAAATAGTAAAAGAAATAAGGTATTTACAAAACCCAAAAATCATAGCCATTTATTATAGGTGTCACTATTCAAGATATTTGGCTGAACAATTAATGAGATTATATACCATTAGAGACAATCTCAAAGGAAACCCTGTATGTTGTATCTTCCATTTCCTATTTGAAATTGATTAGAGCAAACATTTAACAGTGTCATCACAAGCTTTCTCAAAGTTTAATTTGAAAGCTTTGTTCCATTCCCCCTCCTCACAGAGTGTGTTCCTAGTCAGTAGGTCTTGCTTTTTCCCTCAGATTCCTGAAGATTGTACAGCTGAAAATATAGAACAAATCATTGTTCATTTTTCCTTTCTATTTGTATTTGTACTTAGAGTTTTTGTTGCATCTTCATCTGCTGTTTCCTTGCCTTCAGATGTAGTTTTAAGGAGGAATGAAAACATAACTGGAACCAGGGCAAGGAACAGTTTCAGTGAACATTCTCCTCTTGGTAACAGCAAAGCATTTAACTGTAGTTGCCAGATACAAAATAAGCATTCAGCATTTGTGACTAGGAAGTATTGCTTGTATTTCAAAGGCAATTCTTACCTCTCCTGCTGTTACCTACATAATACTTGTCCTTTTTAAAAAGACTCTTCTGGTAAACCGAGTCCAGGTTTGCTGAAGTGACAACTGCCACTGGTATAGGAAATCTAGTTTCCAGACTGAGGGAAGGAGAAGGGAGCGCACGACATGGCAGGGAAGAAATTCATGGAAGTCTTCAGGAATTCTCCTGATTAAGGATGCCCATAACACTGCCACAGGCAGCTGTGATATACAGTAGGTAATAGACTGGTGGCCCCATTACAGCAAGACTTCATCATATAGACTGTAATATACTTAAAAGTTCTTCTGGAGCTATTTGTCAGGCTATTATTTGAAAGGGAATAATCCAACAATACTTTTGCGTAAGACCTGTGAAGCTGAGTTCCTCAGAAGTGTATCTAACAAACTCAGTCATCATCAGTTCCACAGCAGAATTGTACTTACGCTGGCCGATCCTCCAGAATCAAAGCAGTAGTTGACAGTGGTTCAAATTCAATATTTTTACGTCTTCCTGATGGAGGTGGAGGTTTATACACTCTTCCTGTCCGTGCTTCATATTCCTAAACAACATTATTGATAAAAATAAATGTCAACTTTCAGCATCACATCAAATCAGTAAGCATAATATTACTTAACACTTATTAAATCATGTAATAATTTAAGACAGCAAGGAGCTAACACGACACATTGAAATTACTTATAGCAAACAGGGCAGCTTACCAGGACTGCTAAGTAAAGCTGAATCAGAAAGCAGTTTCTAGTATCAACTCTATCTTTGATCTATTCTAGCTCAACATTATGACTGAGCATCCAAGGATCAGTTAGGAAATCTGCATAATCTTTCCAAACAAATTAGCACACAACTATATTTAAGTAGTCTGTGAAGCTGACAAAAAAACCTAAAGCCTTTAACAAAAACGTGTCTTCTCCCATTTCTTCCCTTTTGATATTAGCTGCCCTTAATAACCAGTACCCCTCGTCCTTCTGAAGCCTTAAGCAAGACCCACATTATCCAGAACTATCTACACTCTAATCAGTGACAGAATGACAATATTTAACCTTACAAGTCTGTTTCACATAATTTCTTACTCAGATGCAATCTACTTAGAAAGAAATTTCCAAGAGCCTTTAATACACAGATGACACCACTAAAGAAAGAATTCCATTCCTTTTTCCATAGAGCAACCCAACAAAACAGAAATATGAGACAGTCTTCATTTAGAAAAAGGCTAGACAGTCAGATGAAGACCTCAAATTTCACATTCCTTCTTTAATAAAATTTTACTGCCAAATTACTGGGAAACTCATTCTTACGATCCAGCAAATCTTAAAAGGTTATCTGTGAGAAGACTTCCAACTTATTCCTAAACCAAGTTAGCTTGTGGGTTCACACTCTCCTTAGGAATGAACACTAGTTCCTCTCCAAGTCTTCCATGTGCTGGAATTCAAATACAGAATAGTAGGAGTTGAAAACAAAACATTTTTTTAAAAAGAAATTCAAAGTACTTCAGTAATGTACTCTCACAGATCGCATAGCTCTATTCTCAAGTACAGCCATTGGAGGTGTAACTTGTACAAGCTTTTTTTTAATCTAAAGACAGTTTGTTCTTATACAGTTATTAAAGCAACAGATGTACAAGTATATTCACCGTAATTCTTACATTAACAAGTGTCTTATGTTTAAGTGACCGATTTTTTTTTAATTAAGTATCTGCCCAATCAAATATAATCTTCTCTAGAAAGCACTCCCAAATCAATCTCTCACCTATTACACAGCTTCTTGTACACATTAGCTCCCCCAGGAAGAAACAGAGGGCTTTAGACATTCAGTGTCCACTGACAGCATGACAGAAACAGAGCTGACAACTTTACAGCTATTATATAGCTTAAAAGTTCAGTATACAGTTGAAGTCCATAAAGTTAAACAGGAAAAGACCTCTTACAACAGTGCAGTCTCACATTTCAAGAGAAGGCACAAAGTGCGTAACACTAGCACTTCAAACCACCTAACACTAAGGTGGCTTAAAGTCTTCTGCTCAACAGCATCCTTACCCTATCCATTTTAATGGTCTGTAACAAAATTTCTGTTCTTCCACATTGGTCATAACACACAAAATGATCCAAAAAGTCAACCTCAGTGAAGTCATATTAATCTCATCTCAAGAGGAAGTTATCACAAAATCATTGAGGCTGGAAGGAACATCTGGAGATACACACCTTGTAAAGTTTAAGAGAGCAAGGAACTATTTGCTATCATCACTGATAAATACATTCACAAGCACAAGAAAAAGCAGAAAACAAACATTCACTGTATGAATGAATATACATGTTCTTAAGCCTAGAAGTATTTCATTCCACCAAAAGTCACAGAGACGTTATAGGCACTCCTGCCATGCTTTACACCTTGGACTAGCCCAGCATATTATTTAGTTAGGAATGCATCTTGTGATAGCATCCACAGGTCAGCATCCAGACAGCAATGCCATTTCTCATACTCTTGGTAGAAGTTCCAATTTACTTTCTCACTTAGTATTTTCTAACAGGAGTCAGAGAATCAAGTTTACTTAATGGCTAGAGATGAGGCAGCTCCAACAGTACCAACCTTTTCAACATTCCTACAGACCTAATTTGTATGCAAGTTAAATAAAAACCACTGCAAGATGGACATTAGAAATTAATCCACTCTCACTTTTTTGTTACATGTAACACATTTGAATGGTGCAAGGGCTTCTGGCTATCATACATGCTAACAACTATTTCCAAAGTGACAGAGGAAAAAATCAACAAGGGATTTCCACAAAAGGCAGAACTCATCACCCAACTGTGTTTCTGGAAGTAAGTACACTTTACAAGCAGCTGTTTTTTGCAAGAAAAGAACACATGAACAGAGGGAAAACTCTTAAAGTGTTACTAGAAGAGCTAAAGCAGAGACCAAAATAGCTTCAGGCTCTGTCATGGCTGCAAATTTCCCAAGATGAAGTGTATGACAAAGTATCAGAACTTCCCTATGGAAGATGCTTCTTTCTCAATAAGAGCTTGTGCTCTACGAAGACTGGATCCCAGAATCATCAGACATGCATGGAACCCTGTGCAACTAAAATATTTTTTTCTGGAATATTTTGTATTACTAGACATAAATAATCCAATAGCCTTAACCATTTATACAAAATAAAAAATTCTTGGCACAGGAGAAAAACCTGACAAAAGCTGACACAGAATTTCACTTCTAAAGATATGAGCTAATACTCTTCCATAACTAGGTAAAGACACAATTGAAAGTCAAATATCTTGTAAAATGCTTAACATACAAGTCATATGCCAGAGGACAGAACAATTGAGAGCTAATATTTAAGACTATGTAAGACCTGTTTAGGTAAAACAATAATTTTGGAAGTCATATCTATTGTTCCAGTACCTAATGGAATATTGTTTAAAAATTATTTATTGCAGCATATCTGGTATTTATTAAAAGCTATGGAACATTTCACAATCCCAAAATAAATAAAAATTTATTTCCACTTCGACAGAAAAAAATAGTTATCTCCTTATTAAGGCTGGAACTGCATCCTCTCATCTCCTGTCAATAATTAACTTGTTAAGAGGCTAAAAGCATGTTTTTCCTGAAAAACACTGTGGCAATAAAATAACTTTGATATGCAGAGGAACTTGCATTTCTGTTACTTATTCCTACAGAAATACAGATAAGCTTAAGAACCTACAGACAGGTAAATGGGATTTGTAAAGGAAGTCTTTTGCTTCTAAATTGCCTTTGTGCATAAGAAGATAAAGGTATTCCAAACTGTATCATCTTTTAAAAACACACAGCAAAGAAAACCAAAAGAAAACCCTGGTGTTTTAAACAAAAATAACAGACTTGCACAGGTCTCCACTGCCTGAAGTGTTTTCATTCATATACAGAAAACCTACAAAACTGAAGTTTCTTCTCTCCTTCCTCAGAAGAACCATATAGGGCAGCTAGACCATTCAGAACTATGTTAGATATCTCTAAAACAGTTCTGGCTTGCACTGTGTGACATATGCATGACTGCCCATAGCTGCTTCTTCCAGCATCTAAGCAAACAAACTTGCAGAAAGGAAAGCCAGCTGCAACACAGCATTCCAAAAGCATTAGTTGACCTTAACTAGGGTATACTTGTGGGAATAAAGTATTCAGCTAAGCATGCACTTGATTCAATTTTAGAAGACAAACTCGCATCTACAGTTCCTGAGCTATAGAGCTCAGAGGAATAAATACAAACCACGAAACTTAACATGCATCTTGCTGGGAGAAGTTTTGATCTATTTAGGATCCAACAACAAAAGATGAACTCCTGGAAATAAGTGATAAAAGGCTTAGATTACAAGGACTGTGAGAGCCTTCACAGTCCTGAAAGTACCAAATTAAACAAGCACCTCAGATCCAATTATGTTTTAGGTATGCAGGAGGAGAAAGTGACCTAATGGGCAACACTGAATTAACTTTCACTTTCTTAAGCATTGCTTCTATCTAAACTAGATGTCAAGGCACCTCACAAAGCATGCACCCTGTGTATAATGGTTTCTTTTAGCATGATTTACTCTCCCAGAATTCTAAGCCTGATATGATACTGCACCAGGTTTTATTCAATCAATCATTACTTATGTTGAGGAAACAATAGGGATTGCCATACATTCTGCATGCAGTTTTAAATCTCTTCCCTCTACACACACTCAACTCTGTGGAGCAGAGAGGCCTCTAAAAACATCTATATGATTATTTCCACAATGTTGTACAGCTAAAAAGATTATTTCCCTTCATTTCAAGTAGAGTCGATCATCTGAGAATGCAAGCATTAATAGACTCATTCAGGAGGGCACCCATCTATATGACCTTAATAAAACTAATAAAAAAATTAATATAAGAAGAATTTCCGCTAATGTATAAGGGTTAGTACTGGATACAAGGCAACTATAAACAAAGAAGTGCTTATAGCAAGATGAGATGTCACTGAAAAATTCTGTGATTCACAAACGAAACATTTTCCCAGAACTTAGAATGCCAGATGCTATCAGAACAGACAGGACAGTACATTCTTTTGCAGCTTGCAGACGATACAGGAAGAACCCACATTTTAGGAGGAGGAAAATACAAATCTCCACATGTTACAAGAAAACAACCAGACAATAAAGAGTTTCTAGGTCAACCTTCCAAACTAATGCCATCCATCTTCAATTGTTCATTTACTTCCCCCCCACCTCAGTTGGATATTTAACAAGCTGCATCAAGTTTCATCTTTTGTTGTTTACAAAAAAGCATGAAGCCAGGGGCTTCTGGGCCCACCAAAAAGCTGAGAATAGCTGGACCAGGTAACACAAACCACAGGCATCAACTAGCAGTTACATTACTGCTCTGTTTCACAAAGCCCGAGTAACAGATTCACAGAACTAAAATGCCAACTTGTACTATTCCTGTTTAGCACAGTGTGGGGCTGCATTAAAAGTTTTCAAAGTAACAGGCACGTGTATTGGACCAGTTTCAAAAGGATACCAGTTGCAGCAATTAGAAGATGTAACAGCATATAAGAGGTTTCAATAGCCACACTTTTCTAGGTTTCCAATCTCATATTGGAAATATCCGGAGTTCTGAAGTGACGCTTTTAATAGACTCAGTGACAGGGAAAATAAAAGATTCTAGGATATCAGTTTCCAAAGCTCACACGAAGTGTTAAAAAATATTACAAATTAACGTTTTAACAATTTTACCATTGAGAAAGGGGACACAGCAAACATAGCAAGTAAACTACTATCGAACTCTAGCATTACCTATTTCCTGCTATTCAAGAACATGCAATACAAACAATAATAATAATAATAAAATCACTAAGTTGTTAGTTGAATTCACAGGTGAAGTTTTAATTTTTTTATTTTACTAATGGTAGCTAATGAGTTGATGGTTAGTGCCATAAAATATTCATGCTACTGTGAAAATGTGATGTTTGTTCTATTTTAATGCGTGCTACATAGTCCCATGCATGGCATTGAATACAACTAGAAAAGATATATATTAAATTTCATACCCCTGTGTTTAATAGACTGAGGGAAGATATTGATGCAAGACTGCCAGAACTGTCATCCTAATGAGAAAAACAGAAGCAAAGCCTTAGTGAATAAACAAAGGAAAAGACCATTAAATATAGCAACATGAAAGCCAAAATTTTAATTCAGATGTAGAGTATTTACACTCTGTGATTGAAGAAACACAGATGTGGCTGTTCCTCCTTCTCCAGCCTTAAATATACAAAAACACAAAGACTTCCCACTTGTGCAAGATGTGTATAGACCTCTAATGGGACTATTTTTCTGTTTTAATTCAAGTTTTATAATTTCTACAATCAGCACCCTGCTGGAAGGAAGATCTTTTTCCATGGCATGTCTCAAGTGCATGACAAAAGGCATTCCCCGAGATACCATCTCTCCCTAGTCCACATCACCTGCAAAAAAGTTGCTCTTATTTAAACAGTAGCTTTGGAAGATAACTGTTAAAAATTAAAGAAAACATTTTCTACATGCCCACACAAGATAACAGAAACTGTTTGCACTGAAAATGAACCTTGAAGACCCGGCTTTCATTCAGCTCATCCTAGATTGCATCCAACACACAACCAGTTCTTCACCAATAAGCTAGTTAACTTTAAAGCTTAAAATGAACATTCCAGAATAGTATTTGCACTATGAATGGAAATGAAACATAACTGGACTTGAATAAGCATTCGACAAGCAATGCAACACTAGGGAACTTTAAAATGGAACTCCCACATTAACTTTTTGAGTTTCTCTATTTAACATGAAAGGGTAGAAAATGTTCAATAGTGCAGTGACTTAGAGCAGTCCTTAAGTCCCCTGTCTTTCCCCTCCACACTCCCCACCGTGTTATAGTTAGTATTTCTAAATTGAAAGCTCAAAAGTGGGCTAGACCTATACCTCACTGGTGAGCTGATGGGAACTAAGATACATTTGTAAGGCTTTGAGAAACAGCCACTTAAATGAAAAGATTGTAAGCAGCCATTTGAAGCCCCTCATACTACACTGGAGCAAAACAATCAGGTAAACATGCCTGACTACAAGAGGCCCTGTACCACCACTGCTCGGCAGGTTTCCATGCAAAAATCAAAGCTGGTTTTCTAATGAAAAAGTCAAGCTTAAAGACAGTGGCGGGGGGGGGGAGGGAAGGCACAGTCATTGCTTTTAAGCACCTTGGAGAAAAAAAAAAAGCTTTATAACATGCCTTCAAGATTGTTTCTGAACATACCTACACTTTTCTTGTACCATGCATTCCCCACACTATTAAAAAGCTCTTAAAGGCTTCATTCTCCCTCATCATCTTCTTTTCCCCTTTCCAGTACTTAAGTACCATGCTATCTTCAGATTAATAAGTCTTATATTATAAAAAAAACAAAAAAACAAAAAAACCAAAAAAAACCAACTAAGCCCCACAAAAACCCCCTTTAAAAAAAGTATATGAAAGACAGCAACTTTATCACCTGAATCTTTTTGGTAAATCCTAACCTTTCAGAATTTGATGCAGCCTGCCTAGATGATGATTGTGCTATTGCAGCACCTCAAACTCAGTGTAAGTTTCTGAACATGCAAAAGCTCACTACTTATTAAAAAAAAAAAAAAGAATTGTACATGTTCCATCCTTTGCTAAAGCAATATAAAGACCCAACAGAGTGGGAAGCATCCCAATAAAAAGAGGATCCAAAAGACCAAGAAAAAAACCTAGTGTCCCACCAAATCAAAGTAAAGGAAGTTCTATCATTTTTATTACCTTGAGATTTTTTTATGTATTGTTTTCCCAAAACCCAGCAACTTCCAAGGACAGAAATGAAAATACGTTCAGTGCTTATGCTTTCTTTTTCAAGCTTGAGGAAGAGTAAGTTACTTTCAATACTTGACCTCAGAGACTTTTTTTATTTAAAAAAAGGCAATCGGAAAAATTCACAACAGCACAGTCATCACTGCTGCAGTGTTTTCAAAATACTAGTCTCACACTCGCTGTCGAGTACTCCCCTAAAGATGCGTTTGTGCCATCAACACAGCACTGACACCACAAGAAGTTTTCCTAGTCAAAGTAGCTGGTTAAACCCTGCTGCTAGAAGCTGAACTGTATTTTACATCCTTTATGTAAACAAAAGAAGAGGCATTTGTGCCACTAAGGTCCTTCCAGTTTCATTGACCATTTTACTGACAATATAACAACTGTAAAAGTCTAAAATGCTGGCAAAACGCTGTTGAAAGACCTCAACATAACACTTCATTGCCATAACACTAGCATAGTTTTTTGCTGACTACATGTGTTACTTGTGAAAATGACACATCTTGAAAATCTGACCACTACAGTGTCTACAGAGAAAATCATCAGAGCCTTCTCATTGCTGCTAGCAGACAAATGGCTATCCAGGTGTTAAATGTCCTTTGCAAGACTCAATAACCAAGTTACTGTCTGCCCTGGTTTCAAAGCATTTTGTTATCCACATATTTCTACCTGTATCTGCTAAAAAGGAACATCTTGCCTCTCTATTCTCTCCAACAGTTGTGCAAGACGAGCCAATGTAACTTCTACCTAGGTAACTGTCTGCTTAAGAAACACTCTGATGAAAAGCACCTAGCATTATATTTACCTACTTCTTCTAGATATTCAGATCCTTATATTTGTTGACAAACTTGCCATATACACTTTTTAAGCATTAGGTGTTTCATGCATTGTTAACTGAAACAACAAAGATTGGAGGGAAGAGTTAATATTGCAAGTTAGAACATCTGAGTAGTATGAAAAACTATTCAAAATGCATCTGTTCCTCTGAAGAGGAATCTCTAACAACTCTTGCCTCTGGGAGAGGCCACGGGAGTTGTGCTGTTCAATGAACATAATTTCTCTGTTAGATTTCAGACTGGAGACAATGACATCAGACAAACATGCAAGGCTTTATAGCCCTTAACTAAGGGTTTGTTTTGCTATTTAAGATTTCAGAGCCATCCAAAAATAATATTTTCAGAGTTTAGTTGTAGGACGGTGATCAAGTAATGAAAAACAGAGTTAGCATTTAACAGACTCTAAAATTTAATACCTTTCATTTTGTATACAAGGTGACAAATGTTGGAAAACATGGCTTTACTTCTGAATAAGCAATCATTTCTAAATATCTGCAAGCTTTTCATGGTGTGTCAGACTTAAATAGAAATAAGTGGTTTTTTCCCCACCCTTATTTAAGACTGTCACTAACAGTACTTCGTTAAAACTGCTCATAAAGTGAATTTGGTGTATGTTTTACTTTATTTTGCGAAGTACATTTCCATATTCTGAGCTTACTTCAATTTGGGTATATTAAGAAAAAGAAATTAATAGAAAGTATTTAAGACTGCTTTAATAAAAAGCAAGAGGAAAATGTAATGACTTGATATTCAAAATCATCCTTACCAGAGATTAAAAGCTCTTTTCTTTAACCATACAAACAAAAAAAAAATGAAATTAAGATTGCATTTTCAAACAGAACTTACACTTCAGTCAATGCAAACCAAAATGTTACACATCAGTACACAAGTCAGTTGCTGCTCTAAATGTTTCTATATTATTACAGCACTCTAATTAAAAGCAGATTTTGGTACAGAATTAAAAGAATGTACCAGACTAATCATTAATGGCCACATAGCTCTTATAGTAGCCAGTTTCATTAGCTGCAGTTCATGAAAAAAAACACACTTTCTAAAACCATCAAAAGCATTTGCAGTCCTAAAGAGCTACTATTTTCCCTTTTTAAAAAACAGCGAAGGAAGGAAGCCCAGAGGAGGGAGACGTCCAGCAAAAGAGTTGGCCCCAATCACATCCTGCTTGGGCAGCTCTAAATCCAAGAGCAGCCGAGCCTGCCAGCAGCTGCGAGAGGGGAGATGCAGCTGCCAAGAACTTTCAACCTCTGACCCAGTTCCAGCTAGAGCATCTCACCCAAAGCAGGCTGATGGCAGCACAGCTGCTGGGGGCTCTGCCATCTCCCCAGCCAGGCAAACCCTCCAGGCTGCTTTTCCACAAAAAGTACTTATCTTCTTTTACATACGCTAAGAAAGTTGCAAATAAATTATTTAGAGTTATATTCACTGGACAGTGTCTGAAGGCAGAGCTGGATAGCATCATTGTCTGGAAAACATCTGAAAGGTTTCCAATTAAGTTTCCAACTTCTCTTGGAAGTTATCTAAGATTTCAGAATCACTACCTGACTTCTCTGCAAAGGCATATATAGCAATGCCTAGTTGACAGACCGTGACTGGGAGCCACATGCATTAATTTAAATGCAATTATCAATTTACTACCTCATCCTTAACAAAGCAAACGTAATGCGAGCTCTACCACTTTTGACTACAGATCTACAACAATGCTGTTTTCATTTTTGTTTTACTAGCAGGAAAGTGCTTTAAGCTTCACAATATTACCATAAAGCTTTGATAGAAGTATTATCCTTAGTCAAAAGACTTCCTTCTCCTATTAATTACTAAGTTTTTCCTGTTGTGAGTTAATTTTTCATGCAAAAGGGTTTTTTAAGATCTCATCCTTCATCTGAAGGATGCTGACTCAGTATTACTGTTTCCTTAATCAAGGGTTTATTGCACCCTCCCAAAGCTGGCCACTGGCATCAGTAAAGTCACAGAATTTTGTGTTCAACCATGGAGAACAATTTGCTGAGATTTGTTGCTATTAATAAACTACCTTAAACTCTCTCACAGGCAGCTTGCCTACAGCTTAAGCCCATTCTACTTGCAGTCTTACACCTAGAGCCTCATTTTACAAAAGCTGGTGAACAGCAAGTAGCCATTGTTCTGACAAAATATGGTTTAAAAAATAGGAAAAAAAAAAGTGAGTTATATGTTTCAGATCACACTTGATCCCTTGACTTGAATTTAGAAAGTCAACATGGAAGTTTGTAGAGACACTCCATGTAGGATATGAAGTATTTGCACAGAATTACTTGTGAACAGAACACATTAAGCTTTAATCGTATTTCTATCAACTTCTTAAAGGCTCATAACTGCATTCTTGCCCATATTCCTTTCACTCATGTCTGGCACAGTGAGGAATTTAGTCTAGTGACTTTAGTCAGCCATTCAAAAGTGAAGATACTATTTTTCACTGAACCGAGTGTTGGTGCCTATGATCACTGTCATCTACCATCAGCTTCACAAATTTGAAAGTTTTTGAGAAAATAAATCATTGGCTTTTCTTCAAAGGCATATGCACAAGGATCTATACTGTAAATTTTAAACACAGACACAAGACATGTTATATATGTTAAATATGGAAACATTAGGGTCACCTCTCAATTTAAGAAACATTTTCTCAGATAGATGTAACTCTTGCTATACTGTTAACCTGGATCCCCCTTTGACAACTGTGTATCTTAGTTCAAGATGTGTTATCTAAAGACTACATAGGCTTTAGCTAAATTAGAAGCTAAAAATATTAGCTATTACTGACATATTATTCAACATTATATAAATCCAATAGTGACCCTAATCTGGCAACCATTATAACACAAACCACATGACTAGTGGCTAGGACCAACTCAATCATGTTTAAAGACAAGACATGAGGGTAATTTTAGTAGACTAATACCAACTTTGAAGAAAAACTGAACATACAAGCATGACTATGATTTTATTGCACAAACCAGGCAACTGAACTTCATGAAGGAAGCCTAGAGTACTTCACAGTCACTTTAAAACTAAAAAAATGTAGCATACCACATTAAATAAGGCAATATTTAATGGTAAGTATTAATACAAGTGCCAATGTTTTGACCTAAATAACTTAAATGTTTTTGAACATGTACCACCTTTTTATAAGCACTGAGATGTACTGAAGAATGTACTAGATAATCATAACTCCAGCTCCTTTTCAGTAACAACCATTCTTTAGACAAAGCCTCAAAGAGGCTTCCTAGAGGATTCTATGTACAGGAACTATGTGGAGATAACAGCACAGAACTGTGATACTGATGTATTAAGTTTTACAAGTTCTGTACCTAGAGTTGTGTGAAGTTTACTTACCTGCTGGATAATTTTGGAATCTTTTGGAAGGTTTTCCCTGGGTGGGACTTTTCCAAACAACTTCCAACCAGGAGCACTTTGGACAGCAGGCTTGAGTTCCTTTGTCCTTTTAGTGAAAAAGTTTCTGAAAAGAGAGGAGGGTTTTCTTTTTGTTTATTATAAGCATATAAACAAATTATATTTGTACCCACTTATCTTTTGTTAAAGTTAATCCCTGCAGAGATTTACTGCTCAGCAAATGCACATTTTATTTTTAATAAAAAATAGCTTTTTTATTTTAAAATAATTAATGTGAAGTGGAGCAGCTTTCATTACAGATGCTTCAACGCTAATATTTATACTTCACACTCAGGTTTCCCTCTGAATTCTAAATTACTTTATGCAATATCAGAGCTCTTTTAGTAATACCAAACACTTTCCTAAATATAAGCTAGCAGCATGCAATAGCTCTCAGACTTTGAGGTTTGTTTTAGCATACCTAATGGAGCTATTTGGAGACTGAAAATAAAACAGCTGGAAATCACTGGGTAACTTACAGATTTAAGAAAGAAATTGTGGACTATTACTTCTACTAACATTTTTTTTGCAATTTTCACACCTCCAACTTTCATAACATGGACTAGAAAGTCAAGGAACATGCACACAGCTTCAGTTTAGCAGATAACCTTTGCCAGTGCCTAAAGCAATTACACTCAAACAGGCAGATGACTGCATTGCTCTATTACTTCTTAGAAAGCCAACCATCACAAGATCATATTAGCAAGCATTTGTCTAGATACAGGGCTGTGCTATTTGACTTCAATCACAAGCTCCCACAGAGCATGCTATGTAAAAGTGCTTTGAAAATGAGTGCATTTATTTTTAATATTGGGAAGTTACCTTCCAGAAACTTATGAAAAACACAGATTCAAAGTTCAGTAGTCTTCAAGGTTATTTCTCAGGCACCTCTGAGCAAACAGAATACAAAGCATTTTTATTGGAAGATGTTTTCGTGCAGTGCTAAGTAGCTAACCTTGTACTTTCACACACTTTCTGGGGGAAAGAGATCCCCAGATTTATTCCTCACTTACAGCATTTAATGTATTTTAAAATAAATTTCTTCTCAAGGCGAATGCATTCACATTTGTGTACAGAAAACAGTCTCTTGGCTTTGCCCAGATTGAAGTAGCATGCTTTAACAACTTGAATCTAGCTGAAAAGTGCACAGTTGTGTGGCAACTCGTCATGGTTTGACTCAGGATTGGCAACTAAACCAGAGGCAATAACGCTCATGATCCCCTCCCATGCCCACCCAGATGGGGAAAGGAGAGAGATAATAAAGAGAGAGACTTTCCGGATTGAAAACTAGACAGCTTTAAATACTAGTGATGAAAGAAAATATGTACAAATATATACAAGTATGTACAGGAATGTGCAAAATCCTATTGCCTCACCCAACCCCCAGCAACTCCCAGGACACTCTCCTGAGCTGTGAGCAGTTCTGAAATGTCCCAGAGCACTTCCAGAGATAGTGGCAGAGCAGACAGGAGAGTTATGAGGGTCAGGAATGCATGGGCCTAGGGATCAATGGTGATGGATACGGAGTCCTCCTTGGACATCAGCCATGGATGGAAGAGAAAGGGAGGAAGAAGGGGCTTGAATTCTGTGATCCCTGAACTATATATGGTGTGGAATACTCTCTGGCCAACTTTTCTGTCTAGTCTGCTCCTCCCTGCAGGAGGTTTGTAGATACAACTCTTCTGCTTCTTCAGTATCTGAGGCTGCAGATTCAAAAAGCAGAGCAAAGTGTCCTTGGTGTCTTGGCAGTTAGAAACATTCAGGCATTATCAGTCCACTAGCTGGAAAACTTGCTGTGCTACTTAAAAAAAGAGTACACTGAAAGGGGTGGGAGAAATCAGTAAAAAGAAAATTGGCTTCATCCTGGCTTAAAGAAGGACAACTCTAGTGCTGGAGTTGCAATTTTTGAGCATAGTTTTACAGATACAAACTGTAACTCTTTGTATGGCTTTCAAAAACAAAGTATCTTCTCAGTTCTCAAAATGTTTTTTGTTATTTGGGAAACAAGCAAATGCCTGTCACAAAAATCCCTTCTGTGCAAGTCTGCGTGGACTCTACAGATACCTGTAGTTGAAGATCTAGCCACCAGAAAACAGCAAGCTGCAGAGTATAAGTAGATGCTGATGAAATGTTAGAAGTCTCCCAAGAACTGCTAAGCCCAAGACTAGCAGTCCTGTGGAATGCAGAACTGAGAAACTCAGAATACCAAGACCCTGCTGGGTCTGAAGCCACCAGTACACACTAGCATCAACACCAGTTTGTTAAAAAAAGAAGACTACATTCAAGAGAACAGCAGCTGCTAGAGGTAGCCAAGGGGTAGGGGACTATGTACACACCTGATGAAAGAGAGAGCGCACCGAGACATTTTTTCAAACACTCATGTAGAAGCTGTTGTTGCATCGGTACATACCTCCACTTCTGTGGAGGTCTCCCAGCTGATGTTCCAACCCCATAAGTAAACACGTTTGGGAATAATTGCTTGCACTGTATGAATAGTTACCTGCCATTAATGGAATCAAGCTGTCACTATTAATATTAGCTTAATTAATATAAGGTGTTCTAGTAAGCATTAGTTTTGATTCACATGTCCTGTAACTCGTCTCCATCAGGGGAACTTGCAGTGTCTTAGTCCATCCCTGTGGGACACCAAACTAGTGGCTTCTGACACATGGGCTGGAAGGCAGGGCTGATGAGAAGGGTATACCATGGTATTAGCATATTTAAAAAACACTGTTCTCAGTCAACCTCAGACTGCAAACCACTAGTGAAAGGAGGAGGCACATCCATAAAAGAATATGAAAAAGTATGCTTACATAAAAAGGGAAGGCTCATTTCCCAAGTAAGGGACACCTTTCACAGTAATTTACCTTGTCTTCAGGAGAAAAGGTGTTCAAAGATTCATCAAGCAAACAAGACAAAGTATCCTGAAGACCAATAAATACTAAATACTACACAATAGCCTTGACCTTTAAACTGCAACTATTGAAGTGGCTGTATTTGAAAATTAATTGTAGATTTTTTTTTATTTATTCCCCCCCCCCCCAAAAATATGTTCTGTAGTACCTTTTCTGAAATACCAAATAGCTCAAGCATCCAGACTTCACAGATAACAATAACCCTGTGGTCTCTGCACACACTACAAATAACCACCAGAATTACCTGGTGGTTCAGGCTCCATTGCTTGTAGCATTTGTGCAAGCTAAAAAGATGCATGCCTTTAACATTTATGGCAATCTGTCACTGTATCAAAGCTGTTTTATGATTAACCAGGAAGCTGGCAGATTTAAAAAGGAAAAGACAAAGAAGGTTTAATTACTATTTCTGTACAAAGGATTTAGGCATGCTTATGTGTCTTATATGATTTAATTTTTTACTAGGTTTTTTTTTAAACAAATGTAACATGAAACAAAATGTCCAGAACATAGCCCCCACCATAATAATCTCAGGATTTTTTTTAACTATTATTCACTGCACTCAATAAGACAAAGGCCTGTTTCACTTTTTATGAATGCACAAGTGAAAATACACAATTTACTTTGAGTAGATATTAATTTAAGTCAGTTGCTTGTGAAGGCAAAAATAACATTAGAATAAACCTCACACAGTAATTCTAATCCAAAAGAAATTAACCAGAGGTTTACAAATAAGCTTTCCTGACAATGGAAAGACAGTCTTAACACATTGTTTTGGCAGTCACTAGTATCACATCTGATGTGTTGTTGACAACAGTAAAGCCTTACAAAAGCTCTGTTAAGGAACATCATCAACGAATGCTTACAAGATGCACTGAACTGCAGAAAGTGTAATAGATTAGATATATTTGTTGCTGCTTGGAATATTCACAAATTTCATTGATTCACAGGAAAAGTCATCCATTGAGCTAACTATAAAATCAATAACATTTTGGTACAAAATCTCAAAATTTGTTTGAAAACTTCAAAATTCCTTTAAAAAAAAGCTTACACTTTGGAACTGAATCATGCATTGGAACTGAAAGGACCTGTGGGATATAAATATTAGACAAGTTCATTGAATTAAGCTCTGGTTTACCAAAGCCCAGTGGAAAACTTGCAGTGGAAAACTTTTTTCCCTGCTAGGTTTATATAACTACACTGGAATGCATATTAGTGCTCTCAAATGAAACTCAAAAATGTTTCAGTAGGTGCACTGAAGAGTCTGAAGAGCAACTGAAGCGCCAGAGACTAAGAACCCATTACTGGCACGTACCAACACAGCTATTCCTAACACTGTTTGGATTACACTACACAAAACCCTATGGGCTTTTGCTATCACACAACTACAACAGCTGTAGTAACAGCTTCAAATGGCAGTTTTCTTACTTAAGCACACAGCTTCAACTATTTCTGCCCACAGAACTCTGTGCAAGGGTTTTACCATACTGATGGTACAGTAATCCAAAGATGCTAGCCATTTCCATGCGTTGTACGTGATGTTCTAGTGATGCAATTGCTTGTTTCCACTCTTGTTTTTGCTTTTCAAATAACTTCTGAGTTGTTTATTTTAAACTGGTGAAGTCAAAATGCAGTTGGAATTAAGTCTCAGTAGGGGACTGATGGAACTTGATATTTTAATGGGGGTTTTTTGTTGACTTTGGGGTTTTGGTTTCCTTTCCCTCACCATAAAATCACAACACAAAACTTTTTTCCACTTTCCAACCTAGCTATAAGCCAACCCAAAAGAATGACAGATTTCCAAGTTTTAGAGGATGTTACTGGAAAATACCAAGGACAATTAATTCAAGCTTCATCTTAAAACTCATCCAACACCAGACTAGAATCTGGGATGCCGTATTTGCACAACAGCCACTCAACAAAAGCTAAAGTGCTTTGAATAGCAACAATCATTAACATTTTGTGGGAAAGTTACCAGGCTAGACACAACTCCAGAACTCTGCCTCTAGGTATGAATTATTCACCTCTCCACAAGACCAAGTAGTCTTGTGATAGTCTTCTGTTTGATCAAAAATGTCAAATTCAAACCTAGTTTCAAGCTAGATGACAATTTGCTACAGTCCTTTCAAGGACCACAGGTGTGGAACTCCTTCTT